CCAGTCTTTTTGTTTGTTTATTGTTTTTTGGGGACAGCATCTCTCCAAATTGCTTAGGACCTTGCTTAGTTGCTGAGGCTGGCTTTGAACTTGCAATCCTCCCACCTCAGCCTCCTATGTGTTTAGGGTTACAGGTGTACACTCCCAGACCTAGCTTAAACCCCAATTCCTGCAATCAAGTTAGGAAGATTTCAGACATGTTGCTCAGAGTAACAGCCATGAGTTTATTAGAAGGAATGGGAAAGGAGGAAAGGGACCCTCTCAAGGGAAACAGTGGGTCCTCCCAGAGAGAATGACAGTGTACCTCTCCTGCCCTCTGGCTTTATTAGGGGGCCCAGGGAAGTTTCTAGAGAGTGCTGCCCAGATCCACCTCTTGACTTTTAACTGACAGCAGGATGACCTCAGACTTTCAAGTGCCCACTGCCATGACAACTCTAGGTCATTTTGGACCATTGCTGACTGGTTCTACTTGGAACCTGTTCTTATAGTTTTTATGGTTTGTGGGCATTATCCTTATCTCCCTGAGTTGGGGATCTAGTCTATGTAAGAGTCACAAAATTTCCCTTCCCTATCCTTGCTTCAGGGTAACTTGTGTTCTTATCATCGGCATTTCAGCATTTCAGACCTGCTTTTCTCCTGTAGATAACAGGTAGTTTGCTGAGGAATCTAACATGTCCTATGGACTTAAGCCAGTCAGCGCTACAGGCAAATTACTTCTTGGGAAAGAAAGCATGTGGGGGATCCATTTTATAGAATTATGCCCTTAACCTCATGTTTCCACACTCATGTCTGTCTGTCCTCTGGGGTTTCACTATCTGGTTTTGAAAAGCATAGGATATAAATAAAACACAGGAGTTGTTTTCAGTGGTATTCCTGTCATGCTGAGGAAGTGAGAGGGGACACGTGGGCATAAGGAACGACAGGAAGGATCTTCTTGCTGGCTTTTGCATTTGAGATTCCTAATGTTCCAGAGGCTTCTTCACAGTTTGGTTGTTCTGAAGCCAGATTTAAAGTTAGGTAGTCAGTGTAGTTAGGTAAATCGGGTCTAATACCGAGTGAAATCTAAAATGGAGGCCATGCTGGGAATGACTCAGGGAAAACAGGACAACTCATGGAATGTTAATAAAGGCCCTAAGCCAAAGTCCACCTGGAAGAAATGTTAATGAACATCCCCCAACAGATTTGAAGACAGCCCATCCCAAAGAAGTGTTAATGAAGCCCAGGATACAGCCCCCAACAGATTTGGAGATAGCCCATCCCAAAGAAATGTTAATGAACAGCAAACTTGACTCGGAAATGACCAGATTACTCCTTTGTCCCAAACCCTTCCCACCTACATTCCCTCACCAAACCTATAAAAGGGGAACACATTGCCCGCTAACTGGATTCCACCTTTTGGGTCCCCTTCTTCCTCCGGGAGAAGTCTTTTCTTCTGTCCTTTAATAAATTTCTAATTTCTACTCTGGCCTTGCCTCGGCGTGCTTCTTTGGTGTTATTCTTCAACATCGGGGAGCAAGAACTCGTCACCGGTCAACAGCGGTAACAGTTCGACCTTTTGATTCTTATATTTGAGCTAAAATTTTCCTCTGCCTTAATGGGGTTGAGTTGGATTTTTGTCCCTCACAGATGTTCTGGCTAAGTAGCATTCATTTAATGATTGAAGGCACCCTGGAGAGCATGTTTTCTCCCTTAAGAACAGCTTCCCTCCACCCAGAATGCCCAAATACTTTAGCACAAAGGCCACCTCCTAATGACAACTTCCCTAATCCTTCCAAGTAGCAGGAAGTAACCTTGCCCATTTGAATCATCAGGCTCTTATCTAAGCACCCTCTTGGGGTGTGCCTCACACTCTTACATTCTTTTTTGTTCTAGAGCTGTTTGGGGGACAAACAAACTTCCCCTGAAAATGTAAGCCTTCTGAGAGTGGAGACTCTGTCAGTAGGGTTTTTAAAATTTTTTAAATTTTTTAAAATTTTCTGTCTCACCTTCCAACACTGCATACAGTATAAAATACTGGTAAAAGTCTGCTGATTGAATGAGGAAAAATAAAAAGGGCTTAACTCTTGTTAATAAAGATATAGTGCCATCTAAAAGTTTAGAAAATTGATTAGAAAGAATAGGGTGGTTTCTCTAGAGTCTTTTGAAGTCAATTCTATACAATAGAAAGGGATAGAAAATCATCTTTGGGAAATACAGTAACAATAAAATCAAGAAAGCAGCATTATTATTATATAACATTAAGAAAAACATAAAGGCCACCAACATTAAGTCCAGGTTACTGTACTTTTCAATGAACTCCCATAATGAAGATGTACTACATCATATTTTCTTTCCCTAAGAACAGAATACTGTTTTATATCAGAGCTTCTCAAACTTTATAACAAGCTGGAAATACCCAGGGACCCTGCTAAAAGACAGATTGTCACTCAGGGGGCCTGGGGTGAGTCAGGATTTCCCACAAGGCAAGATTCTGGGATATGTTGATGCCACAAGTTCATGAGCCACAGTGAGTAGCAAGAATGTGTAGCAGTGGTTCTCAAATGTGGCTGTCCATCAAAACTATCAGGAAGCTTTAAAACCTGCAAATGCCTGTGTTCCATCCCAGAAATTGTGATTGAATTATCTGGGATGAGGTTTGGTTTTGCAAAGTTTAAATGATTCCCAAATGATTTGAATGTGCAATCAAGTTTGGGGAATTTTCACACATAAAAAGTTCTAAATCTTTGTGGTGCTTATGGGGGAGAAGGTCTCATTACAAAAGCATTGAATAATCATTATAATATGTAAATACAGGCAAACAGAAGAACACAAAGAAAACTAATAATTCTGCTCTATGAGGTTAACTATTACCAACACATGTTGTATGTGTATGTAAATAAACTTACTTATATGTAAATAATTTTATTTTGTCCAAAATAGGATCCTACTATGCAACTCTTTAACACATCATAATTCACTTAAGCATCTATTTGTATTGTTTGGGTTGCTCTTATTTCAATTATTTCCTGCTTAATTTCTATGCTGTGCTCATAGGCTTTTTAAAAAGTAACAAGTTGTTTCATCCTGCCTTCATTTAAATTTTTTCCCCATGATTTTGATCATTTGTATTTCTTATTAAAATTAAAGGTCCAGTTCATTCCTTCTGCCCATGTTTCTATTGGGAAATGTTCAAAATTTACCTGCGTAATCTTAAAAATGAAAAATTCCTGCAATGTTTTTAATGAACATTGTAAAGGATGATAGAAAAGCTCCGTAAACTCAAAACAACCGTTTACCTGTTTGAGATTTTATTAGCAGGACCTAGCAGCCAGTCGCAGAAGAGAAGGGAGGAGAGAGAGAGGAGAGGGGGAAGAGAGAGAGGAAGAGAGGAGAGGGGGAAGAGAGAGAGGAGGAGAGGAGGGGGGGGAGAGAGAGTAAGAGAAATGAACACAAACAGGGTATTGATATTTATGGGCTTAACACAGGATGAGGAGGAGCCAGGCGAATGGGCTGTTACTTCTTCATTGGCTGAGAGTTTGCGCCACTTCAGGGATTGGAGGTACACCGTTCACAGGGATTGGAGGTGACGGTTCGCGGGCCTTTCGGTGCGTCATGGGCCTAAGCCCCCGGAAGAGAAGCACTCTGGGCGCCATCTTTACCAACAAACGTCTTTTAGCCATTTCCCATGCTTTCTGTTGTCATTTTGGTCCTTGTTTTCCTGAGTTGGCTGTGAATCTTAGCTAAGTCCAAGTGTTAACCCAGCCCTAGTGGAGTCTTTGCCTCCCCAGATACAGGAAGTGGAGCAGGTAGATAGATACTTACATTTTCTCTGTTTATTGAGTGCTCSAATCTTTACTCTCTCACATTCAAACTGGAAAGAAAGCTCTAAATGCACAGTTTCTGTCTTAATTTGAAAATTCAAGGAAGTACTCAACTGGAATATATCTCTGTGCTCTTTTTTTTTGGGGGGGGGTGGAGTGTACCAGGGATTGAACTCAGGGGCACTAGACCACTGAGCCACATCACTAGCCCTATTTTGTATTTTATTAGAGACAGGGTCTCACAAAGTTGCTTAGCACCTCCCTAAATTGCTGAGGCTGACTTTGAACTTGTTATCCTCTTGCCTCTATCTCGGGATTACAGGCGTTCACCACAGTGCCCAGCTTGTCTTTGCTCTTGTCTGACTTTATCATGTTCTCTACACTGAAGTAGAAATCTTTCAACATCTTACTTTGCATAATAGATGAATATTATGCTCACTAGGTATAATTGCTGGTGCTTTTCTCTCTGGTTATCCCAGGATGTAACTCCCCTCCTCAATAACCTCTCTCTCCTGTCTGTGGTCTCTGTATGGAGATGGGCAGAAGCTCTGAAAGTTATCTCCAAATCATGGTGGAGGGGAAGAGAGCCCAAACTGAGAGTAGGAGACTAGTTTCATAGAAGGAACAGAAACTGGAGTTCAGAGTTACTAAGACCACTGGGGTTTGAATCAGGGGACCTCTAAGAAAAGATCCTCAGGCTGAGTGGAATGCATGCCTGTAATGCCAGAGACTTGGGAGGCTAAGGCAGGAGGATCACAAGTTCAAAGCCAGCTTCAGCAACTTAGCAAGGTCCTAAGTAATTTAGCAAGAGCCTGTCTCAAAATAAAATATAAAAAGGGCTGGAGATGTGGCTCAGTGATTAACTGCCACTGGTATATACAAACAAACAAACAAACAAACAAAAATCTCAGAAAATGTGTAGGAAAAATTCTGTCACGCCACCCCTCCCCCACCAAAAAAAATCCCATAGTATTACTAGCTGAATTCTAAGCTATGAATAGGTAGGATAAGACACCAGGTGACAAAATGATGAGGATCTGAGTAAAGACTTCAGTATAGGATAATGCTGGGAAGATATTGAAGTTTGGAAACAGCCAGAGTAGACATCTTTGGTTGAGACCTGAGCTTCCAATTGAAATTCCAGAAAGACTATATACTCAGAATAAGGACCAGAATATTAGAAGTAAGAACTATACTCTAAATACTATACTTTCAGGGATCATTTCTATAGTTCGTTACCAGAGAAGTTTCTCTGATTGTGTAGAGTACCAGAAACCATGAGGAGGAGGCGTACCATTCCCTTCTGAGCGTGAAGCTGGCTTTTAGTGTTGCTTTGCTGCAACTGCCTATTGCAATTAATGATCGTTCTTCTCCTCTTCGGGAGAGCAAGAGGAAGGGAACACAGTCTGAGAGGTTTCCATTTTTTTTTTTTTAAAGAACTATACTATGGATTCCAGGGTGAAACTATAAAGTATTTGCCTTACTCAAGTCTTAACATAATCAAGGCGATCCCTTGGTAATTTAACTGTGTGCAAGAACAAAAGCTCATGCTTTGTAAAGGAATATTACATAATCCAGAGCCTTTGCAATGTACCATCTACAATATTTGTCATGCATTAAAATCATTAGATATACAAAAGGGCAGGAGAAAAAGAAACCAATTACTAAGAAAAGAAACAGTCAATAGAAACAAGTGTAGAGATGACCCTGAAGTTGGAGTCAGCAGAAGGGGTCTTCTTTTGATTAATATTTCTTGGAAAATAGAAGAAAAGTTGATGAAAAATGGGTGAAAAGAATGGATATTTCTCTATTATTTATTTTTTTCAGTACTGGGGATTGAACCCTGAAGCACTGTATCACTGAACTACATCTCCAGCCTAAGAATAGATACTTCAATAGAGAACTGAAATATATTTTTAAATAACAAAGTAAACATTTTAGAATAGGATTAGTATATTTGAAGATACTTAAAAGGAAGTTAAAACTGAAGCACAGAGAAATTAAAACAGTGGACGAATACCTCCTGTCACTGCATTCTTCTAAATAGTCTCAGCTCAGTAATTAAGATCTTATTAATGATTAAAAGTTTATATTTTGTTCAAGGTTGGGACATTCCTCATTCCCCACTTTAAAAAAATTTTTTTTTAGATGTTGATGAACCTTTATTTTACTAATTTATTTATATGCAGTGCTAAGAATGGATTCCAGTGTCTCACACATGCTAGGCAAGCACTCTACCACTGAGCCACAACCCCAGCTCCCTACTTTTGAACTATATAGGCCTGTAGTCAAAAGGAAATTCTTAGCCAGAGCAGGGAACACACACCTGAAATTGTGGGGATTCAGGATGCTGAGGCAGTTATTGTAATTTCAAGGGCGGCCTGAGTAACTTAGTGAGGCTCTAAGCAACTTATAAAGTGCATCTCAAAATAAAAAAGTAAAAAGGGTTGGAGATGTAGCTCAGAGGTAGGGTGCCCCCAGGTTCAATCATTATCACCAACAAATAAAAATTTAAAAAAATATATTTTCTTTTTCCTAGTCTTATTTTTTTGCCCCTCCACACACATTCTAGGCTGTCCAGTATTAGAATGGCAGATGCTCTTGTGTAAGTGGAAAGTGACCAGTGAATGATAGGACTGTTTGCAACAGCTGAGTGATCAGTGAACATCCATGAATGTACATTATATCCACTCTCTGGTGAAGTGAATATCATAGAAAATTAATACCATAAACAACAACAACAATAAAAACCCCAGGCCAAATGACAGGCAAAAATGCCACAAATACTCATGAAGTATGGGTATGGCAAATCCAGTAATTCAAGCATGATAATCACTCTGGACATGTGATTTTGAAAAAAGGAGAGAGGAAATGGGACATATCATCTATTGAACAAGTGGGTTTTCCATTTTCTCTTACAGCAGAATTTACTTCTGTCCCGGAAAACCACAATCCTCAGAGGAGGAAAATAAACGAGACATAAATATAAATATGCCCCCTGAAGGGCAGTCCACAGACAAAGGCTGCTTCAGGAGATGCGCCAGTTGATGTCATAGTGAAGTCAGATAAAATTACTCATCACTATTAAACTAGTTCATTGAGGGAAAACCCAGGGAAGTCTGTAGAAACTATGTTGATTACAAGTGATTCCAGGCAAAATCACTGTGCTGGTCACCTTTTGCTTACGTGATAATGAATAAACAGAGGAAATGTTCTTCCAGAAGCTGATCTCCCTGTCTATCCTCTGAGCTCTCACTGGGTGATATTGTTCTCTGACCACATCCTCATCCAAGCCCAGAATCACAGAGAAGAGGAGCATCCCAGGAGGTCCAGTTCAGTCTCCCATCCATTGCTCTCCCCAGAGGGTGCAAACTTGCCAGCATGTGTTCTTAATCTAATCGAGTGTCTGGCACCCTGTTCCTGTGCTCTACAGCCTTTGCCAGTACTGCTGCTCTCTGGGGGCCTCTTGTCATTCTGCACTCACCTCTGCAGGGCCCTGGAGACTTTCCAGCTGCATCCTTGCAGAGCACAGATGGGTGGGCATCCTGCTCTCAGAGGCCTCTCCTGTCTTCCAGGAACTCCACCCACATATCTTCTGCTCTTTTTCCAGTCCACTCACTCTCCTCTGAACTCATTCTTGCTTTCAATGGCTAAAAAAATGGGAATGTGATTTTAGTTTGTATTAGCTGCTTTATAGAACACATAAGAAGAGAGGACAATCCTGCTCTGTCTCATACAGAAACCTAGTCATTAGGTTGTGGAGACAATTCGATGTAATAAGCTTAGTGGAGTGCTTATTACACAGAAAGTGCTATGTAAGTACCATACAATATATAACTAATTATAATTATTTTTTCATCTTTTCAAAGTGCATTCCTTTATCATAGATTGCACAGGACTGAATCCGTAATGTACCTGCTAAATACAGGTGACTGAGCACCTGCATGGCCAACCACAGGCACAGGGAGACAGTGGCTACCTTCTACGAAACTACAGGAGACTCCATAGAGGGTTTGAGAACAGAGGGAATGAGCTAAGGATATGTAGAGAGTTCAAAGAAAGGTGGGTAGTTGAATCCTGGGGGAGGAAGATAGCCCTTGTTCCTGGCCAAATTTCATTGAAGGTACATCTCTCTCTGCCTTACTATTTCTGGGAGCCTAGAAGTTGCCTCCTGGCCCCCCAGTAGCTTTGTTGTGTAGGCACTGTTGTGCTGTGTGCTTGGAGATCTCTGTTTGAGCCAGGGACAAACTCACATGCTTCAGGTTTGGCTCTAATAATGCAAAATTTCCTAGTGCAGGGCCCTGAGGGCTCTTGGACAGACCGACAGGAGGCTCCACCTCCCCGAATAAAAGTGTCTGCTAGGATGCAGTGCAGGCTGTCTCTCTTTCAAACACTCTAAAAAGCAATCTGACCTCTTCACTTGTGACCTCAGCTTGCGGGTCCTTTGTGGTGACTCTGTTGACATACTCAGGGGAAGAGAAGTGAGGTGATGTGTATGTGGCTGCAGTCACTCATTCGACATTACTGACGCTTGCAATAGGGTCCTATGGCATATGCCTGTAATCCCAGGTACTAGGGAGGCTGAGGCAGGAAAATTGCAACTTTGAGGCCCGCTTTAGCAATTTAGTGAGACTGTCTCAAAACAAAAATTAAAAGGGGCCTGGGATGTGGATATGTTTCAGTGGTTAAGCACCCCTGTGTTCAACCCCCAGTATTAAAAAAAAAAAAAAAACCCAAAACACCAACAACATTATTGACGCTTGTGTGATGGTTAGCTGATGACGTCTCTACATTGTGAAAAGATAATCTCATGATCTCAGAAAATGGCTGGTGGTGATGGTTGCACAATATTGGAAAATGTACTTAATGCCACTGAATTGTACATTTAAAATTAGTTAAGATGCAAAATTTTATGTTGGGCACATTTTCTGGCAATTTTTTCAAAAAGAAGATGATCTCAGGTTTTCGTGAATCAGCCTCTACACAACACAGCTCCTTTTCAGCAAAGGTACATAGTATATAAAGTGGGGGGACCTTTGGTTCTGGGGCCACCTGGCTCTTTCCTCACACCTTTGTCGCCTGGGCAAATCACTAACCTACCTGGAGTTCCTATTTCTGTATGTGTAAAGCACAGAGCTATTGGAATGATGAAATAAGAGCTCTTAAAGTTCTCACTGTGCCTTGTTGTACAGTCTTCCTGGTTTTCCTGGGACTCAGGGATTCCCAGGACATGGTCCTTCAGTGCTAAACCCATGACAAATCCAGGCAAACCAGATGGCTGGTCACCTTGGCAGAACCAGCGGTTATTGGCCCATAGTATTGCTACTTCTACTACCCCAATAAAAGCTGATACATGGGGGCTTTCTTTTTCTTGGGCCCTATTTCATATAATTTGTATGGATTGGCTCATCTAAGTCATGTAATTATTATCTCAGCTTTTTTTTTGGGGGGGGTATTAGGGATTGAACCCAGGGGCACTTAACCACTAAGCCCCATCTCCAGACCTTTTTATTTTTTGTTTTGAGACAGGGTCTCAATAATTTGCTTAGGGCCTCACTAAATTGGTGAGGCTGGCTTTGAACTTGTGATCTTTCTACCTCAGACTCCTAAATTACTGGAATTACAGGCGTGTGCTACCAGGCCTGGCATTATCTCAGCTTTGCAAAGGAGGAAACCAAATAGAATCTGAACCCAAGAAAGATTGGGTTAAACTTCAAGGCTACATAGTGTTAACAAGTTATGTCCTTTCCCCGCAGATGTATAAAGCACTATTTCCCAGGCACTGTTCCAAATGCTTAAACTATATTAAAAGCTGGACACAATATCTTTAATTAATTTATTTATTTTTATGTGGTGCTGGGGATTGAACCCAGGCAGGGCCTCGCCGGTGCTAGTTGAGCACTCTACCACTGAGCTATAACCCCAGCCCCTAATTCATAAGAAAGAAAGGCTCAGTTGGGAGAGTTGGAAGGAATTAATGAAGCACTAATTGGGCAATTGCTGAACCTATTGTATTAAGATAGAGTAACCAGCTCAACCTGGATTTCACACTGGGAGTCCTGCATCCTGAGAGCTCCCTCAGTCCTGGGCAAATCTGTGCTCATCTGTGTAAAAGATCATGTACACAATTCTAGGTCCAGAGAAACTGAAAATCCAAGCCAATAATTCAATCAAGAAGAGCTAAAATTAGCAATAAAAAATGATGCTGTTCAACCTTCCCACTTATCAAGGAAATGTAAAAAACAAAGAACAAACAAAAAAATTAGATTCATGTTGAACAGATGAATAAACATTTCAAGTAGCAAAAACAACAATAATCAGCACGCAAGTTTCAGGAAACCAGTATGCTCATCCTTTGTCAATAGCATTTGTGAACACCCCTGATGAGATGCTGTGCATCTGTTAAACAAAGGAG